TATATCAAGCCCAGCGCGACTATTTTTGTTAATGGGTCGATGGATCACAAGGAAACCAAGCAATGGATCCCAAACGAACTCTGACACCGGTCATGCCTCCGCATCTGAATATGGTTCCTGGAAAGTTTGGCCATAATGCCCTCAGCCCAGAGGTCGGCACATCGCGGCTCTTTAGCGACTTGCGTGCCGCTCGGCCAGCCGGCCACAAATCGGTTCTGACACCGAAAAAGTGGTCCTTGAAAAGAAATTTGGCTCACAAAATATTTTTAATCGCCCTTCTGCTGATTTTTGGCTCTTTTGACTAGTCAGTTGGCCGACAACTGCCTTGGCCAGAAGGTTGTCATTTTTTGTTGTTTTATCGTTGAACGCAGAGAATAAAGAGACAATAAAATGTTATGTTTCAATGACTTCGAGGGACGTCTAGGTTAAGTCCTTTTTAGGTGTGCGCACTCTTAATAAGATCCCATCTTATATCAACGGATCAACGCCATTAGTTTGGCATTTGTGAATACGACGATTATAAGGCACAGTGATCAAACAATTTTTTTAAAGTTAGATTTGTCAGTAAATCATGGTCTCTCTGTCTGTGCCCAGCCTGGAGATCAACTAAAACAGAATGGGCGCCCCTGTTACGCACCGTTGTCAGTTGGGAGAAAATTAATCTCCTATTTTACATGTATGGCTCGTTTCAAAACAGTGCATTACAAAAGACGATATCAAATGATAAAAACAATAACAGAGAATATGACACTCAAACCGGGGCTAATTACAATTAATATGTTTTTATTAAGTTACCAATAAATTACAAAATAAAAGAAATATAATTAATATCATTAACTCACAAAGTACTGATTTGGTGGTACTTGTAAACCGTTGATGATGATACAATGTGCCAAAAGAAGGTACAACGATGAATAGGAATTCACACATATAAGTAAACAAAACTCTACCAAGAATAACACACTCTAAAAATAACTCTCGTCTGTCGTCCCGTAAAGTAAAAATATCTCGTGATAAAAATTCTCTCTCTGCTTCCTTTGTCCTTCAACATCCTGGCTTTATACACCGCTATAGGCTGTTTCTCTATACCATTCTAGAAATCTAAGCATTGTACTCGCTTCCGGCTGCTTCTACCATTTTCTGCAATATTCGGATCCCGAAAAAGGCCATGAATTTGTAAATTATAGCCAAGGTCAACTAGTAATAGCGCAGTGCAGCCAAATTGGGTCAGACAGAGTTCACAGCACGGGGAAATATTTATTTTGTATTTAACATTGTGCTCCTCAACGCAGTGAACTCCTTGTATTTCCATCTTTAGACCTTTGGACATTCATTTCTGGCTTCGTCACTGACCTCTTAAAAAGATTTGACAAACCCTCCCTCAAAGACAGACGAGAAAAGCTCCGTCTAACATTTCTCTATAAAGTGGTCACGGGGCTAGTGCCGGCCATTCCATCTAACACGTGTCTAGCCCCGCAGAAGCCAGGTCGCTTAATCAGAGCCGAACGCTCAATAAACACTGACTTCACCACTGACAACCCCACGAGCAGTTACATCTGGAACAATGATAAATGCTTCACTGTGCCTCGGTGTAGCACAGTCCAATATAAACAATCATTCTTCCCACGAACAATAATTGCTGGACAATGCCGCCGTGGACTCAACATCAATTGAGAGTTTCAAGGCTGCCCTGGCACCCGCATCATTTCCCAAACCGTTGCACATAGGCCAGGACTTGGTTGCAGCGACGTAGTCTATCAGAATCAGAATCAGAATTAAATTATTTTTTATTTTGATAATCGGACTTTTTTTTTCTTCAAATGACTTCAAAATTTTAAAAAAAACACCAAATAATTCTTTCCCTTCCACAGTATAAAGGGACCTATAAAATGAACTGCGTCACCTGCTCTTGTGAGAAGAACGGTTGGTCAAGGTGTAAAACAACTGTCTGCGATGTAGTGATCTGTTCGGCGGGACTCGTCCAAAAAAAACCACCCAACCAGTGCTGCTTCACCTGCGGCCCAAGTGAGCAGCCAGAAGATTTAGAACCACGAAGCTAAGAAGGTAAGATTCAATACCAGCTGTGTAGCACGATTGCTCCTCGTGATTCAATACCAGCTGTGTAGCACGATTGCTCCTAGTGATTCAATACCAGCTGTGTAGCACGATTGCTCCTAGTGATTCAATACCAGCTGTGTAGCACGATAGCTCCTAGTGATTCAATACCAGCTGTGTAGCACGATTGCTCCTAGTGATTCAATACCAGCTGTGTAGCACGATTGCTCCTAGTGATTCAATACCAGCTGTGTAGCACGATTGCTCCTAGTGATTCAATACCAGCTGTGTATATCGATACCTCCTAGTGATTCAATACCAGCTGTGTATATCGATACCTCCTAGTGATTCAATACCAGCTGTGTAGCACGACAGCTCTTATGATTCAATACCAGCTGTTTAGCACGATTGCTCCTAGTGATTCAATACCAGCTGTGATTGTGAAGCACGTTAGCTCCTCGTGATTCATTACCAGCTGTGTATAACGCTATCCCATAATAACGCTATCCCATATAAAACAAATACCATATTGCGCAATGGCGTGTACGGCTATGCCATACAACGCTATGTCATATCACCCTATGCCGTATAACGCTATTCCACATAACGCCATGCGATATAACGCAATGCCATATAAACCTAAGCCATATTACGCTATGCCACATTACGCAATGCCATGTAACACTACGCCATATAAAAATTTGCCATATAACACTATGCAACATAACCCTAGCCTATAAAACGCAATGCCCTATATGGCTATGCCCTCTAACGCTATGATGCTCATCCGAATCCCTGATATGGTTTTTGATCGTACCATTATGTTATGCCTTCTATTAAATTACCTCTACTTTACCATACATTTCATTTCTTTTGACCGAAAATTGCCCCCCTCCCCACCCCCACCCCCAAAGTTACATTTTTAAAAAGAATGACCTGACAAAGATTACGAGTCTAATGTCTACATCAGTGGTCAGCAAACTCATTAGTCAAAAGGGCCCAAAATCAGCAGCATGACGATTAAAAAGCCAAATTTCTTTTCAAGAGCCTGTCAAGAGACATGTTTTTCGGAGTCAAAATCAATTTGTGGCCGACTGGCCCGGCGGCACTCAGGTCTCTAAAGAGCCGCAGGCGGCCCGCGAGCCGTGATTTGTAGACCACTGGTCAACACCATGGTTATGAAAGTGATCTCAAATGACATCTGTAGAGTCACGATATTTCTTATTACTTATTGTATGTGACGATGTATAGAATATCTACCAGCGGTGCCCCATGGATATAGAGAAAACCATAGTAAATAGGGTGAACAGATTGAGGACCGTGCAAAAGTACTAGAGTCTAATAGCGTTCCTAGATGATGCTTAACGTTAACACAGTCCTGTTAATTTGGTTATTTGATATCAAAAGTGGCAAAACTCACTAGTAAACTGACCTTCCTGGCTCGCCATTGACCGACTTTAATTGTTGGGCACTTCATATGCGCTTGAGGGCCATTCTAGAATTCCTGGGAGATCATGTCAACCGTTGGGCAATTTTTTCCTCAGCTAGACTATATCATTTGGGTAAAAAAAAAAAAAAAAAATCTTTTTTTTGGCTTAAAATTTTTAATTATTTTAATTGTTGGGCAATTACTATGGGCTGGAGGGCCATTTTAGAATTCCTGGGAGATCATGTCAACCGTTGGGCAATTTTTTCCTCAGCTAGACTATATCATTTGGGTAAAAAAAAAAAAAAAAATCTTTTTTTTGGCTTAAAATTTTTAATTAATATTATAATTAATTGTTCTATTTTCAGATTGCATTTATGTACCTCTCAGAGGGTGGAGTCTATTATTAAGCATTTTAAGGTATACATTTAAAAAAAAAAAAGCATGTCTTTTGACCTGACATCCTGAATATAGACTACTGCATTAAACCAACTAACTTGTCTGTTTTCTTGTTTTAACATAGAGTACTATTCTCGCATGTTTTAGCACGATGGTGTCGTAACAAGACCAACATGGCTGGCAGAAAAGAATTCACAACCGTGCACGCTGTCCACTAATCGCCTTAATTAAACAAACCCTTTTTAAAAGAAAGGTTTACGTAGAAATCCTTTATAAAATTTATTTAATATAAATCAGTGGAGGCTGGGGGCTGAAAACTTGACGAAACATGCATACAAATAAAGTATTTTATAAGAATCCCAAGTAGTGACATGTTATTGCGTTTATCTTCCCTTTGAAAAATAGGAAAAAAAAATAATTTTAAGGTGTTTTTGCCGGGCTGAAAATTCTAAAGAATACGCTGTGATTGGTCATGTGGCGACTTTCCGCTTAATAGGTTATTAAAGGGAAGTGGGTCAGTTAGCCGTCCGAAGATTTTGCCAGCCAGCCAGACACGAACAAAAGCAAAGTTATATTAAAGGATTTCTTCTTCTTCTTCTATATCTTAAGGGCCCATGATCAATTTATTGATCATTTTTGGCTCCTATGCATCTAGAGGGTATTTGCAATGTTTCTATGCCTGGTGTTGACGAGGGTATTTCACTGGTTGCAAGGGCTACTTAATGAGGGTATCATGCATGCTAGGGGTTGGAAGGCCTGAGGCAATAGACGCAAATGTGTTAAGTGTTTAAAAAGGATGTTGTTGGTACTGCGCGACTGCGCAACTTGGCAACGTAACTCCAAAAAGTTAATTCGTCGCTTACAAGGCCAAACCTGTCCACCGAATGAAGGGTCATGGTGAACTAACTTCATTTGTCGCCAGTGTGTTGAACAGAGATGTTCTAATTTCACCTTTAGTGTATACGATATAGTCTAACACAGATGTGTGTAAGTAGTCTAACACAGATGTGTATAAGTGGTATAACACAGATGTGTATAAGTGGTATAACACAGGTGTGTATAAGTGATATAACACAGATGTGTATAAGTGGTATAACACAGATGTGTATAAGTGGTATAACACAGATGTGTATAAGTGGTATAACACAGATGTGTATAAATGGTATAACACAGGTGTGTATAAGTGGTATAACACAGATGAAGTGTATTGAAAATAGTTATTATAGTTATCTGAAATCACTACATATTAACAATACAAAAGAATACTGTACAAAATAACAAAAGGCCTTCATTGTAACATTATCATATGTGTCGCGGATTACACATTCATTGTAAAATTTCAAAAATCGATGCTCAAGAATTCTCTGAAGGCAGTAAGTCGACTTCCGGTTCTTCAAGGTTTCACCATTCGTTACCGAAAATAGACAAAAATAACAAGACATTCCAGCTGAGATGTATATACCCTGCAACGCTCTAAAAATCTAGATTCACACAAACTTATACTTTCACGGCAGTGGCGTGACTTTTGGAGGCCCCCGCCTTTACGTTTTGGAAACCCCTCTTCAGCATCAAAAAGTTGAGAGTTAAATTTGTTTTCCCATATCACAACTTGGGGCCCCTTTAATATCAGAGGCCCCTGCAGTCGTAGAAGTTTCAGGCAGTATTTCTTTCAGACTACTTCCTCCGGGTTGGGGGGGGGGAGCGCCTTTCAAGTGTTCGGGTGGGCAGTGCCAAGTTGGCATTCTATTTACTTTTAACTCTGATCTTTTTAAATGTAAGAACACATACATTTGTTGAAGGTAATCATAGAACACTTTTAAAAAATTTTAAAGTAAATGTAAAAAAATATAATGGATTGGTACGCATTTATTAAGTCAGAAAAGGAAAGACTACATTTTTGTTGCTCAATGCTGAGTCGAATCAGTTTATTTGGACTTCATTTTGTGAATATAAACAGTCTGTGAATTAATGAATACATCCTAGAATGCCAAGACTTTAATACTTATTGATATGTGATATAAAAACCATCAACAATAACACGTTCACAAGTAGAACTTGTAACAAAAGTAACTTTTCATAATAGTGATACAAAAATAACTACTTGATAACAGCAACAAAATAATACCGTACAAAGTAACTATAATAACATATATCATAATAACAATGAAACAAAAAATCGTTGCTCAAGAATTCTCTGAAGACAGTAAGTCGACCTCAGCCTCGTCTGGGTTTCTCCACTTGTAACTGAAATAGAGACACAGATAGGAAGACATTCTAAATGAGAGGTGTCACAATCACAATGCATTGTAAATCATAACAGATGCGTAGTGGTCTAACAGTGACTAATACTTTATTACACTCGATCACAATAAATATAATAGTAATAGTCAATAAGGAATAGGTCCACGTCTCATGCCGAACATACTAGATCCGAAAACACTTGGAATCAGGGTTTCTTTCAGCTATATCTCCGGGGGAGGGGGGTACAATGCCCCCCCCCGGGGAAAACCAAGTGCCCCCCTGAGCAAAAATATGTCCAACAATAAATCAACTGGATAGCCTGGCACTGCCCCCCCCCCGGAAAATCTGAAGTGACCCCCCCCCCAACTGGGGAAAATTTCTGAAAGAAACACTGCTTGAAATATATCATATGTCTTTGAATGCTAGCTTCTCCATAAACTTCTTTACTTGATAAAGCGTTAACACACAATAACTCTTCAAATTTAAACATAAACGTTTTCTGTTCAATCTATCTTCCTACATAAACTTCGTCAATTCAAATGTCAAATTATTTACGCTACATATTGTCTCTCCTTGCTCTCCTCGGATTGGCTAGTTTTCTCCAAGTCCCTATACTCTGTATATTACATAAGCAGTAACTCCCTTATTACTTATCTCCCATATATTCATATCTGTGACAAGATGTATATTTGTAACTGAAATATACATATGGATAAGTAGACATTCTCATTGAGATGTTTATACCCTGACATGTTCTATATTCTAAACACACACCAACTCATACTTCAGGGCGTCCCGTAAAATTTTTGTGTCACCACATTTCGGTATTAGTGTCACCACATTTCAGTTTTAATGTTACCACATTTCGGTTTTTGAGTCACCACATTTCGGTTTTTGTGTCACCACATTTCGGTTTTAGTGTCACCATATTTCGGTTTTTGTCCCTTGCATTTGTAATTGAGACTTTGTTTTCCCCATCACAACATTGGGGCCCTTCAACATCCGGGGCCCACTATAGATGGTAAAGGTCGAAGGGTCCAAGGCTCTGCTACTTTTAAACAACATCTCAGCATGGTCATTCGCGACAAAACATACTTTTTTTAAATTTATTACCTTCAAATGAAATTGAATTAGGTTCACATTAAAAGGTATATTTTAAACCATAATAAATGTTAAAAAGCTGCACATGAAGTTTGTTTCAAAATGTTGATTTATATAGCTATTACTAAAGATATAGTCCACCATATTGCACGTATCCTTAAAGAACCTGCGGTCTTCAACACAGTCCTTACTGAGAGTTCCCAGTGTGGATGGACACAGAGAAAAGTCATACGGAGTGCGCTCTTTTGAACCGATAGCGCCAAAATTATGGAACAGTTTACCCTAATCAATGCCCTCCATGATACGCCACTGAACACTTTTTTTTTTTCATGCCCATGAACTAGATTAGATATTGTGATGTCCCAACCACTTTTAAACCGAATATTTTTACAGCATATTTAAATTGAGACCATTTCATTTTTCCAAAAAAAAAAGCAAATATCACGCACCAAACACAGTTGCGTTATTTAAACATTTTTAAAATCAATTAGCGTAGTTATCGGGAATTACATTTTGCCCGCTATTGCCGTCATTATTGAACCATACATTCTTTCAAACATATAGAATTCTTTGTAATAAACTCTCAATACCAAATACGCTGAATAGGAAGCAGCCAGCTGTTGGGAAGCAGTCCACGAGTCACACCAAAGGGATAATAAAGATAAGATATGGATTTATTTTTTAATGCAGATCCACGGAAGCCTTGACCTAAATTATCACACAAATTAAATATGATAAGACGTTACATGGGTATTGGAGGAGAGGTAATCTCAGACAAATATGTTAAGTCGTTACGTGGGTAATGGAAGGGGAGGTAATGATCTTAAGGTTGTTTTAAGTATTCCCGAGACGCCAGTAGCGCCAAAGAATTTAGAAATAATCTCGAACTAGACAGCACTAACCTGTAGCCGTTCTCCGCCAAGTAGCTGATCATGTCCTCATGAATGCTCGCCCGGTCCAACTCGCTGTGGCCACCGGGTCCGGTCACGATGTAGACGTACCGGTCCAGTAGCCTCATCCCGCCGTTAAAGTATACTGAGGTACAAAAGAACAAAACGGTTAAACCTATTAACACACTTTTTTTTTTTAAACCTGACTGGTATTGACTATCATTGAACATGGGCACGTCATTCGGGCTCGATTCCTGCAGGAACGCGCGTGGACGGCGATAATGTACTCTTTTTTTTTCTCTCTTTTCCTTTGAGGAATAAGAAACTATGTATTTCGGAAGGGAGGAATCATGGGTGAGTTTCCCCCCCCCCTCCCATTTTTCCTCCACAGGAATCAACCCGTGCACGCAACCACCAACATTTTTGTTGACATCCACCTCCAGGCGAAATTGCATTTCAAGTCAAAATGATGAACGTAAATATGTGTTTACTGTTGTGAACTAGATTTAGGTTTGGTATGAAAAGGGGGTTTGGTGAAGAGAGTATATGCGTAGCTGTACCTATCGTGTTGAGATGTTGTGACGTATTTGGGTAAGGGGAAATGACGTGTTAGCTTGTTGTGATGGTGTGGAACGATTGCCGTGAAGAAGTGTTGGATTTCATGAGTTGTTTGCTTTTTAAATATTTAATAAAAAGACGTTTATTCTAAGAATCAATGGTTTGTTTAATGATTGCAACCCTGGACAACGAAGCTATCGAACGTGGCAATTCCTGTTTCGTAAGAGTAAATTAATGTTTACCGTCGGAGCGTTCTTGCAGAAACTTTACGACTCTTCGCTTGGCTCCCTGCACCGAGGCGCCATGGAGATCGAGGGAAGGCGAATCTTCGGATCTCCTACAGAACACGTCTTTGTGGACTGCGTTGTCACGCTGGCTACCGGCGCTTTGTGGTGCCGTTGGTGGCGGTGGTGGCGCTATACTGGATCTGTTCTAGTATTGGGTTGAATGGAAATACACAAATGAAGGAAAATAAAAGAACGGAAGAATGAATGCTAGCACCGTTTTACAAGAAGAGGGAAAAACAATAACAACAAAACATAAAGTTTAGAAAAAACGATAGCAAGGGAAGATCACGAAGAGCCCAGTGAGAGTGCTAAAGGCAAATTGGCTAAGGAGGCCACGCGACCCGGGCTGGACCTGAGCAACCCTTAAGAGTGTGAGCGTCGAACTCACCATTTTGAATAAGGGTAATGTTCTAGCGAGCTTACCGAAATTTTGGGATGGGAATTTTTATTTCGTAACTTTTGATTATTGGTGGAACATTTTCATGTGATTGAAATTATCCCCACTGCCCCCGCCCCCATCCCCACCCCCCACCCCAAATAATTTTGGGAGGGTCTCAATACAAATTTTGATCTACACAATAATAAAAAGCTATTCTTTACACGGGATATTATGATATGTTTGGGGCGCCTTCCTAGCAAGTGGAGTTGGAGTCATATCTTTGTGTTAAGGCAAAGCAAAGGGGTCTGAAAGGAGAGGGTTGTGGAGAGATGGACTAAAGATCAAGGGAGATATGTGATGACGTGGCATAGTATGTTGGAAAAAACCACCAATGAACTGTTAAAGGAAACAGGACGAAACGCAGCGGGTGGGTAATGGGGCTATGAGGGTAAAGGGTAAAATAGAGAGAGGTGAAATTGGGGAATAGGTAAATCGTACAGGTGTGAGAGAGATAACAGGGGGGGGACGGGGACAGGTAAATGGTAAAGGTGTGAGAGAAGTGGAAGAGGGGAAGGGGCAGGTAAATGGTAAATGTGTGAGAGAGATGGAAGGGAGGAACAGGTAAATGGTAAAGGTGTGAGAGAGATGACATGGGGGAGCGGGTAAATGGTAAAGGTGTGAGAGAGATGGCATGGGGGAACAGGTCAATGGTAAAGGTGTGCTAGACTTTAGTTATAAGCAAGGAGCGTGAGAAGGTGGGGATTTAGTGAGAGGGGTGGGGCTTTTGGAGGAGAGGGTGCGGATTAAGAGTGCGAAGAGGGTGAGTGTTAGAGGGTGAGTGTTAGAGGGTGAGTGTTAGAGGGTGAGTGTTAGAGGGTGAGTGTTAGAGGGTGAGTGTTAGAGGGTGAGTGTTTGAGGGTGAGTGTTAGAGGGTGAGTGTTAGAGGGTGAATGTTAGAGGGTGAGTGTTAGAGGGTGAGTGTTAGAGGGTGAGTGTTAGAGGGTGAGTGTTAGAGGGTGAGTGTTAGAGGGTGAGTGTTAGAGGGTGACACAATCTCCCACTCACAATCTCCCACTCACAATCTCCCACTCAGTTAGAGGGTGAGTGTTAGAGGGTGAGTGTTGGAGGGTGAGTGTTAGAGGGTGAGTGTTAGAGGGTGAGTGTTAGAGGGTGAGTGTTAGAGGGTGAGTGTTAGAGGGTGAGTGTTAGAGGGTGAGTGTTAGAGGGTGAGTGTTAGAGGGTCGGTGTGGCTTGATAAGGAGTATCAAAGGTAGATTAGCTTGAGACAAACAATTTTTATGGATTAAACAATATAGCTTCAGCTTTAAGGATGATTATACAAAATACAAATCTTCACGTTTAGATGTAATATTTTTTATTTTTTTTTGCACCGATGAAGACACTTGCCGAAACGTCTATAATGTTTAAGAGACACACAATGTTTGTGTCACAATGTTTGTGTCACAATGTTTGTGTCACAATGTTTGTGCCACGATGTTTGTGTCACAATGTTTGTGTCACAATGTGTGTGTCACAATGTTTGTGTCACAATGTTTGTGTCACAATGTTTGTGTCACAATGTTTGTGTCACAATGTTTGTGTCCAATTAATCTACTTTAAAGTTTTATCGCAGTCCAACACTCTTATAATTAGTTTATTAAAGGGAAGCGATGACATGTTATCAAGAATCGTAATACTTTATTTTTCTCGGGCGACCACATTAAAAGCTAGGCCAATGGTTTTTGGTATAATATCAGAACGATGATAAATTATCATTTTTATTGTTAATTCCAAATAACATAAAGAGTAAAATAACAATAATAATATTTCTACAAAATAACCCTTGATATAAAATACTGAGCTTTATAAACAAAATAATAAACATAAAATTAAATAATAACGGACATATTATAAAGATAACGATGGTGTCCCTGGTCAAGCAAAACCCGAATTATCTGCGTGATATTTTGACGTATGCCTTGAAAGAAAGGGATACATTTAAAAAAAAATAAAATAAATATTATTTAAAGTTCAAGCATGGCGAATGCTGACAAGCAACTTACGTAAATGAGCCAAGCGGTCAAGATGACGACCAACACAAACAGCCCAGCTAACAATAGATCCATCACCTGTGAAAACCTGCTTCTATGTCAATGTAAGTGTAAGCTATGATGATGATTTAAGGTTGTTTAATTTGAAATCCTTTTCAACTACAGGAACTCGGATGAACACATTGCAACAAACTTGAAATAATATGGGGGTTTCCCTGTGTTATTTAAGCAAATCTATAAATCGACCGTGGAGAACTTGAATGAGAAATAACTTGAGTTTTCACCATCTCCGGTCCCCTCTTGAGCGACCAAAATGGCTGTGCTACAGTAGACACATTGTACAAAAATAAAAGGGAAGTCACCTTGGCTGTGTCAAAGTGTGTCTATTAATAGAGGTGTGTACTAAAATAGCATTGTCGGGTGCACAAGCCGTTCTAATTTAACACAAGGTACACGGTTTGACAGTGCACACATGTTGACCGTGTACACAGGTTGGACAGTGCACACAGGTTGGACAGTGCACACAGGTTGACAGTGCACACAGATTGGTCAGTGCAGGCATGGTTGACGTTGCACACGTGTTGACCCTTTATCTCATCTCATGTCAGAATTTCCTAACCTGGTTTTATCACTACCCTATATCATTAGGGCTACATAATGGAGAAATATCTTTGATTTAAATATGGCATCTTTAAGGCTTGGTCTTCTATGCAGTAATGCTAATCAAACCGGTGGTCCGCGGGCCGAAACCGGTACGCCAACTTTGAATCACCGGTCCGTAAAAAGGGGTACATATAAGAATATTTAATATTTTTAAAAAAGAAATGTCAATGAAATAATTCGGTACTGTTCCCAATCGCCGTATGTGATAAGTCCTGAGAGTTTGCCGCTATGAAAAGTTTGAGAAGCGCTGCTGTACAATGCGGAAATTTCACTACACATGACATAATTAAAAACAAGACGCGTTGTTAGGCTGACCTAGTGACACCATTTCGTTGTGTGTGATACAGAAGACGATCTTCTCTGTGAATGTTAATCCGCGACACATATGATAAATGTGTCACCGTTAAAGCAGGACCCAAATCTGCTAGTCATAGCAGGACTCACATTTGATGCTCGTCTGTATCATAGCAGGACTTACAATTGCTGCTCGTCTGTAGCAATATAGCAGGACTGATTTCTGCTCATCTTTATCATACCAGGACTCACATCTGCTCTTTGTAGCATTGCAGGACTATCATCTGCTCTTTGTAGCATAGCAGGACTCACATCTGCTCTCTGCAGCATAGCAGGACTCACATCTGCTCTCTGTAGCATTGCATGACTCACATCTGCTCTCTGTAGCATAGCAGGGCTCACATCTGCTCTCTGTAGCATAGCAGGACTCAATCTGCTCTCTGTAACATAGCAGGACTCACATCTGCTCTCTGTAGCATAGCAGGACTCAATCTGCTCTCTGTAGCATAGCAGGACTCACAACTGCTCGTCGGTAGCATAGTGACTCACATCTGCTCTCTGTAGCATTGCATGACTCACATCTGCTCTCTGTAGCATAGCAGGGCTCACATCTGCTCTCTGTAACATAGCAGGACTCAATCTGCTCTCTGTAACATAGCAGGACTCACATCTGCTCTCTGTAGCATAGCAGGACTCAATCTGCTCTCTGTAGCATAGCAGGACTCACATCTGCTCGTCGGTAGCATAGTAGGACTCACATCTGCTCGTCGGTAGCATAGCAGGACTCAATCTGCTCTCTGTAGCATAGCAGGACTCACATCTGCTCGTCGGTAGCATAGCAGGACAAATCTGCTTGTCTGTAGCATAGCAGGACTCACATCTGATTGTTTGTAGCATAGCAGGACTCACATCTGCTTGTCGGTAGCATAGCAGGACTCACATCTGCTCGTCGGTAGCCTAGCAGGACTCAATCTGCTCTCTGTAGCATAGCAGGACTCACATCTGCTCGTCGGTAGCCTAGCAGGACTCAATCTGCTCTCTGTAGCATAGCAGGACTCACATCTGCTCGTCGGTAGCCTAGCAGGACAAATCTGCTTGTCTGTAGCATAGCAGGACCTCGTCTACTGGAAACGTGAACACGACCGCTTTCATCATGAACATATTTGAAGCAAGTGCGTTTCAAAGGGGTGCGAATGGGGCGGGAAGTCCCGGGCGGAACCTTCTTTTTCAAACGGAGATCAACTGCAAAGTTTTGTTGGTTGTTGGTTGTTGTTGTTGTTTTTTTTTTTGTCTTTTGTGGAAAGGGCGGCTAAAAAAAAAAAATCGGCTCGCCAATGGCGGCACTCACCCTAGCTACCCCTCTGATAAGAAGTATGACAAATTTTGATTACCCAAGGTTGGGGTGCGAAGGGGGCGGGAAGTCCCGGGCGGAACCTTTTTTTTCAAAGGGAGATCAACTGCAAAGTTTTGTTGGTTGTTGGTTGTTGTTGTTGTTTTTTTTTTTGTCTTTTGTGGAAAGGGCGGCTAAAAAAAAAAAATCGGCTCGCCAATGGCGGCACTCACCCTAGCTACGCCTCTGATAAGAAGTATGACAAATTTTGATTACCCAAGGTGCAAAGTGCATATGGAAATGATCATGGTCGTACTTTGACTTAGAGAGACCCTAAGGCTTAATTTGCTAAGACAGTACTTAAGGCTCAGTGCGCTTAGAGAGGTCCTAAGGCTCAATGCGATTGAGAAATAAAAAAAACGTAAATTTATTTGCCGTTAGAGTTGAATTTACTTTAATACAATTGACATCAGTTAGTATATCCAAAGTGGGGAAACCCTTTGAAACTAAAAGTGTGACCCTTGAAATGTAGACACATTTTACAAAACAAAAAACCTTTAGTTTTAATTAATGCCCCATGAACTAGGCCAACACATGTCTAGAGAAATTTAAAAAAAAACACACACACACACACACACACTTTTTGAGAGCATTTTACATGCGTATAAATGTATATTTATATCAGTCTGACTGACAACATTCATTGAGCAAGGTCCAACAGTGTGTGTTGACCACCTACAAGCGGTCTTTTTTATTACATATAAATGAAGGCAGTCTTGTTGATTACATATAAATGAACGCAGTCTTGTTGATTACATATAAATGAAGGCAGTCTTGTTGATTACATATAAATGAAGGCAGTCTTGTTGATTACATAAAAAATGAAGGCAGTCTTATTTTATTACATAAACATGAAGGCAGTCTTGTTTGATTACATATACATAAATGCAGACTTGTTTAATTACATAAAATGAAGGCAATCTAATTTGATTAAATATAAATGAATGCGTGTTCCAACCATGATGATGTTTCCCAACCCTCTATTAAGGAGTTGGTAAAAATAAACTGTGCGTGGTAGTCATGCCGCTGTGTACCTCTCTTAACTTTTGTGTATAAATGGGTGACAGGAAATTTGTTTGAAAGAAATTTCGTCGACGGAAAATTGATCGACGGACATTTGATCGAACGAAAATTTGGTCGAATCTTTTATTCAGTTCACACTTTAATAAAATTTTCGTCAAATTTCTTTTTCAATGCGCTACACTATTTAGTAAAACAAAATAAAGCGTTATTATTTATTGCCGGTGACGATGCAGACGTACCGGTCAGCATCCCGTCCACCACGTGTGTAATCTGGTTCTGGTAGTGTTCGTTGCTGCATCCGTACACTGGCATCTGTGTAACGGTTTGGGAAGCGATGTTGCTAATCCAACAGCTCCTAGCAGATGCCAGGGCAGCCTTGAAGCTTTCGACCGATGTTGAGTCCACGGCGGCATTGTCCAGGTGGTTCCATGCTATTATTGTGCGTGGGAAGAATGATTGTTTATACTGCACTGTGTTACACCGAGGCACAGTGAAGCATTTGCTATTGTTTCGGGTGTAACTGTTTATGGGGTTGTCAGTGTTGAAATCAGTGTTCAGTGAGCGTTTGGCTCTGATCAATAGACACGGTTTCTGTGGGGTGAGGTACGTGCCTGCTGGGATGGCCGGCACCAGCCCCATGACCACTTTATATAACGATTAATAAGCTATAAACAAGTCATGTGTTAACGTGAAATTCTTGTCAAATATATATTTTAAAATCTACTTCCGATTTTTAATTTAGCAGTTCTTATTTTAATTCAATGGGTAACCATTCCAGTTTTTTTGTTGATAATATTCTTGCATCTCCTTACATAAGCTCCAAACAGATATACTGTTCGATCAAATTTCCGTCGATCAATTTTCTGTCGACGAAATTTCTTTCAAACAAATTTCCGGATACGGTATAAATGTATACTTACTTTTATTTTTTTAAAAATAATAATAATTCAAATGCCCTTAAACAAATAATGTTGGATTCTTATTTTTCTTTAGAGTCCGTTTGGATTGTGGGGGCTCTAGCCAGGGGTTCCTGATCAGTGACATCTGGCGCGGGAAGACCCAGAAGGAAAAAAATCAGGTTTATCTTCATTTTAATCGGGGGGGGGGGGGGGGGGGGGGGCGGGGGGGTGTTTTGAAATCAAGATGGAGGTGCGGGAAATAATTTGAAATGAAGATGTGGGTGCAAGGAAACGTTTTGAAATCAAGATGGGGTACGGCGCTGCAAAAAGATTACGAACCCCACTTGTAAGCTCTTATGTTTCTAGCTTAAAGTTAACACCGGCCATCGAAATGGAATCATCAGCAAGGGAAGGCAACTCTGTCTTTTGGAGAGATGACAACCCCCTGGATATGGAGATGAATGAGACAGGCATTGACACCGAAACTAGATTCGATGTCAACAAAAATCGTATGTGTTCTTCTCTATGGTTTGAGGTGGCTGAAAGACATCTAACGTTTTTTTTTTTTTTAAATCAGACATAAAGCCTTCGAAGTAGACCCCTCAGCCGACGCCGCGCGCCGAATACGCCGCCGTATTTCGTCCGCCGTAAATCCGCCGAAAAATGAACGAGTCGCCGTGACGTAATGTTTTTGCTTTCTTAAATTTCATGGCGTTCCGTTTTAAGGTATCAGGTATTGAGTGACAGAAACTGAATGAATGGAATGCATTCATGCACTGGATTAGTAGGACAGCATAGAAAACTGTTTTTTTTTCTATTGTTTGAAATAATACAACTTTTTCTGAAGTATTGTAAAAGTGTTTTATCGCTGAAGTTTTATTACTTCATAATTGGCCAGGCTTCAGACGAATTTCAGCCGAATGTTGCGAAATCAGCCGAAAATCAGCCGCATATGTTAAATTACGGAGAAATCCGGCTAATCCGGATATCAGCCAAAAAATTATGTCAGCCAGCCGAAATTTGAAAAAAAAATTCGGCTGGCAGGTCTACTTCGAAGGATTCGTTGAATTCTTCTGGCTGGAGCTAGTTTCCAGTCATGGACGGGACAATAATGGCGTCAAGCCGCGCCTACATACATGCTCACAGCAACACAATCACAAACACTGACATGCATGCACACAAACACTGACATGCATGCACACAAACACTGACCTGCATGCACACAAACACTGACATGCATGCACACAAACACTGACATGCATGCACACAAACACTGACATGCATGCACACAAACACTGACATGCATGCACACAAACACTGACATACATGCACACAAACACTGACATGCATGCACACAAACACTGACATGCATGCACACAAACACTGACATGCATGCACACAAACACTGACATGCATGCACACAAACACTGACATACATGCATACAAATACTGACATGCATGCACACAAGCATTGACCTGCATGCACACAAACACTGACCTACATGCACACAAACGCTGACCTACATGCACACAAACACTAACCTACATGCACACAAACACTGACATACATGCATACAAATACTGACATGCATGCACACAAACATTGACCTGCATGCACACAAACACTGACCTACATGCACACAAACACTGATCTACATGCACACAAACACTGACATACATGCACACAAACACACCCACACACCATCCGAAGATTTAAAAGAACCACCAAAAAAAATGGCTAGAGATTGCAGGAAGGCGCACATATGTTGATGACACTTAAATACAATTAACCGAAGTAAAAGATAACAATCCAGTTAGTTTCCAAAAAAGAATTTAATATATCATATTTTAGTGTAAGGAATGTACGTTTGTGAATATAAGATAAAAAATTTTAAAAAAAACACTACCGTGATGAAGAAAAGAACACTTCTAAAATTAGCGATTTTAAATCATAATATAGGCCTATATATTTTTTTTAAATTGTTTAATAAAAAGTATGTACATCGAAGATAAATTGAGAAACATTTCCCTAAATTGTTGTTACACAGCATCCAATGTTATGTTTACTTTGCGCCCTAAAATAATAATAATATAAAATAAAAATTTAAAAACAAATTATTTATTTCTAAAAAAAATTATTGTCACAAATAAAAAAAATCTCTTTCTGTGCTTGCAAAATGGATTCTTTCGTGGTTAACATTGTTAGTAATAATAATTTGTTGACTTTTAAGCAGTACACTAACTCGATGGCCATAATGCTCTAATGCTAATATCGTGTCTGTCAATTATTGAAAGACACTAAATTTATAAGCTTAATTTTTAAATTTTTGTTTACAAACATCCTTGCTCGGATTAGCTCTCAATATCCCATTAGCTATTTTTTTGTTGTTTAAAAATACAGAGTATACAAATGCACTAAGATCATACTATAAAGTTTTCATGTCAAAGAACCTCTCCTGTGTTTGAATTAACAACAACAACAACAACAAACTTTTCCTATTTTTACAAAATACTAGAGAAAATTCTCGGACTTACAAGAGGGTCGTGTGTTGTTACATTTAACACTTAACATCTGACACATTTCATTACTGGAGACATAATGAACATTTTCGTTGAAATGAAAAAAAAAATGATTACGAAATGAGCAATCGAAATAAAATATAAATAAAGGGGAAAAAATCTTTTCACAGCGACCTTTGAAAACTTAAGTTAAATACTTGATGTAGCTACCCATCAAATACAAATAGTCTACAACACAAAAATGTAAAAAAACAAAAACAAACAAAAAAACGTAAAATTTATATCATTTCAAATATGTTTGTAGAGGCGAATTTACAAAAACGTTAGACCGCTTTTATAAATAAGTAATACAAATAAAGGATTTTTAAATTTTTATTTTTAAAAATCGTTTGCAATTAGAGACTAAAGGAAATAAATAGAATACTCGTTGGTTTCGATTTCTAAAGTTATTATTGAAAACACTCAGGTCTACGATTTAACTTTTAACTTAATTTTTTTTTTTTTTAATATCATGACTTTCGGATTTTTATTTGAAATGTACCATAGACAATGACCAATGTCTAATGACAAAAGGAGCAGTTAGAACAATAACAATAAGTTCAAAACAGCTGCTGATAAAATAACAAAAGTTCAAATCAGCTGCTGGAAAACTAAAATAAATTCAAATCAGCTGCTGGTTAAATAACATAAGTTCAAATCAGCTGCTCATAAAATAAATTCAAATCAGCTGCTGATAAAATAGCATAGGTTCAATCAGCTGCTGATAAGATAAAATAAATTCAAATAAGCTCCTGGTAAAAAATAACATAAGGCCAAGATTAAAGCGATAACTAAATTCGTAATTAAATATTCGGGAGAGTTTTATAAGTGAGATCAGGAATTTACAGATTTAATGAGCGAAATGAGGATTCGGTTTCCTTTCAATATTCATACGATTTCTGATCAATTTAATGCACTGAACTGAGTTGCAAAATTACCTAAATACCATGACAGTGCGCTAAACCCAGGCTAGCTTAAGGCATGGGCGCCCGCAGCAAACTTTCTAGGGGGGGGGCAAAAAAATCGATTAACTTTCGGGGGGGGGGGCAAAAACTTTTTAGTAATGTTTTAATGTAGTTTTAATTTACTGTAGCGTATTTGTATGGTGAACGAACGGACAGGACATCAGCTTAGTTACTTTCTCTTTATTTTCTCTTTACTTTTAATAAATTTTTTGTCTATTTTTGTCTAAAAATTTGTTATCCAATCAAACCAGGTCAGGGCAAGTGCCCCACCTTGCCCCTACCTGCGGGCGCCCATGGCTTAAGGGTTCAATAAGAGTTTTTTTTTATTTTTTATTTTTTTTTATTATAAATCAAACTACTCTAACATTGACGAAAATGTTGATAAAGTTAGCAATTCGTTAAAAAGCGCAACATGCTCTAAAAAAAAATGCAGTATACTCAAACTAATGCCTTAAGCTAAAATAATTTTTAAAATTAATACACGAAACATCTAAGTCATTCTTAAAATGATTTCAGTGTCATCAGTTTTGCGGGAATGGATAAAAGCCGCAACTAAATCAACTATTTACAAACAATGTTATTTGACATCATAAAATCCGAAGTAAAGGGTTAACTCCATGGCTGCTATGAGGACTACCAACCTCTCAGGTCTACCTCCGCTTCACCGTCGTTGTTCCATTCGTATCTAAAATGAGATATGGAGATAAAAATCCTGTTTAGGTATATTAATGAAATTTTTCTTCCGTCAGCAGGACAGTACTTCAATAACGTAGACACGCCATAAGATACAGTTAACTAGGCCTATCAAAAAATACGTAGATTAAATGATGTTTTATAAAATCTTTTTATATAAGTTATCTTTATTTTTCTTCAAATTCACCACAAAAAGAAGAACAAAAACCACAATCAAGTATTTAATGGATGTTGTTGATGATTAAAAAAATGGCTAAAGGTGAAAGAAAGAAGAATTTCGAATTCAATGACGTCCGGATACGTGACTTCTGGAAGCGTCTTGCCACTTTTCAGTTTCATGCTCCTGGCATTCAAAGTTGATAGTTGATTTTTTTTTTTATACACACACACATTTAGATTGTAGCTGGTGCCTGAAGCCCTCTTCAGCCGCAAGGATTGCAGGACTTTGCACCATGACATCCCCCGCCACACTCGGGGTGAGGCGAATTGGCCGTATAAAGTCAAGTGGACCAGTCCAAGCTCAACCTCTGAAAAAAAAAAACGCCCGTGTAGTTAGTTACCTGTAGCTACGAGCATTCAAATAGTCTTGAACAGCTTCCTTAATGGCAGGGTAGCCACTGGGACTATGCAGTCCCCTGCCGGTGACGATGTAGACGTACCGGTCAGCATCCCGTCCACCACGTGTGTAATCTATAAACAATTTGAGTTAAATCATGTGTTAACGTGAAATTCTTGTCAAATATATATTTTAAAAATGTACATTCGATTTTAAATTTAGTTGTTATTATTTTATTTCGAAAGGTAACCATTCCAGTTTTGTTGTTGAAAATACTCTTGCATCTATTTAAATAAGTTCCAATCAGATATACTACAGTCGATCGTTTTGAACAAACTGATTATTTCTCAAATCGAAAAAATCAGTAATAAGTTTTATTTGAGTATGTACATTTCTGTCCCGATTCGGACCAAGTTCAATTTGACACATTAGAGCCAGCCAAACATATGTGAAAAAAATTAACGTAAAGACAATTCAAGATAGCTACAAGTATCAGATTAGTACAGATTATAGATAAGCTTTAAGTAAATTGACAAAATACAGGTAAAAAAAAAATACTTATCGGTTACACATGCCCTAATTATTTAAAAAAGAATTACAAAGCTAGCACTGTGATCACCTACTGATTGTGCATCGACGCAGAAACTCATCAACTTCGTCTTTAGCCCGTGCTACAGAGTAGCCGTGCAGATCGATGGACGGAGATGACCTATCAAACCTTCTGGTGGATTCGTTTTGAAAAGTTGGCATTTGTCTATAGGGTGTTTGAAATTGTGGTCCATGTTTTGAACCATATTGTGATCCATGTTGTGATCCATGTAGTGATTCACAGCATTTCTAAGGGAAGAACGTTGGCGAAATAAGAATAGCACATCAAGCAACAAATTAGTGGAGGACAAAATAAGGCGCCGTGGGGAATTCCCTACACTGACGCCTACACACGCACATTCACGCACACACATGCACACACACACCCGAACACATTTATGCACACAATGCTGTCATTTAATTTTGGTAGTGCCCACCCGCCAACCAGTGTGCAACCCGAGGCGATCGTCCGTTTCAACGATGGTTACGCCACTGCACATGATACATGGCTTAAAATTTACAATGCAGGCTGGACTATATTTTTCTTCAAAGTATTCTCATGGTTCTGCTGCGGAACAATGCAAATTGAAATTCACAATCGTCATCATAATTATCAGTTTAAATTATTGTCGTTAAAATACAATGTTAATAATAGTTTAAAATCTAATGTTACGTATTTAATCACGTCTTGGTGGTACGACCGGATAGGAAAAAATAAATGATCTCGGAAGAGAAAAGCGAGTAGGTAGTTGGTTCAGCGTTTGTCTCATTGGTCGCTGCCGTTGTCCATGCCAGCATTTCCCAGACCTTTTAAGTTTGGTTGACCTGTGGAAAAAGTTTCGAAATTGCACCAGGGACCGGCGCCAATTTTTATTAATTATGTTTTCTCTTTATTTGATCATAAATATTCATGTTTTGCGGACCGGAAACGCGAAGGTCACGGATCGGTGCCAGTCCGCGGACCACCAGATGCGGAACGCTGGCCCAGACTGTATAAACATGGATTGGAGGACGATACCGGGAACTGAATGGAAATGAATTTATTCAGACTGAAAGAACACTATTTAAAAAAAAAAAACACACTATATTATTGTGCATGTATCAAAGAGCCCTAATCAACTTAATAGAGACGCAGGTCTTTTGTTATCGTTTATTATTGAATTTTAAGGTCGTCAAAAGAATAGACTGTTTAACCCAAAGTAAGTGACTTGTTTATGTCATCGATCAATGGAGATCCGTATTCTCAATCAGACGAAATAATGTCAGGCATCGATCAGTGCTGTATTTACCTGAAGACCGAAAATAACTAACCTGTATGATGAAGTCTTTGGGACTTACTGACAAATACATATCCTTACTGATACTTACATATGATATTCTATATGTTATTACTTACATAAATGAGAGCAACTAGGCACAGAATGATAACGCCACCAATAAAAATAATCAAGCTGGGCTCCATGCCTTGATTCGCCTCCATTGGGGTAATGGCAGTCAGTTTGATTGTGTCCAGGGCTGCCACTCAATTTTTCTTAAATTCCCAAGATTTGGTCAAAATATTTCCCAAGATTTCCCAAGATCATGATAATATATAAGAGTTGTTTTTTTAAAGAGAAATTAACTTAGGAATTTTTAAAGAAAAAGTGAGTTTTTGTCCTGGATGGGGTAGTGAATTCCCAAGATCTTGGGAAATTTCCCAAGGTGTGGCAGCCCTGATTGTGTCACGTTGAAATAATGTGATATTGATTTGAAGATTTTCCAAGACGAGGGTCTTGATCTGTTTCGGAGAAGTCCCGCCTTTTATGGTATTGGTTCAAAAATCGGAAATTCCCCGTAGAATGAAATCAAAAGAATCCTAATACGACTATCAATGCCTAGTAACGTCAAGTAGAGTTACCACGTGGGATCGCACAGTTTCTTTCAGCATGCTGTACTACACATCTGAATATATACTTCCCCACCCCCCAGAGTTGAGTCCTGCAAGGTTAAGTGGGTAGGAACGGCGTTCCTGTATTTTTTTTTTTGCCAAGTAATAATAACATATTTTGTTGGGGAGGGGTGGGGTGGGTTATCGTAGGAGAGGTGGGTTATCTTAGGATCGGGGGGTTATCTTGGGTTCATTCCCTCACTATTTTTTTAATGGACTCGACTCCTGTATCACCTACATATAAAACAACATCTTGATGATGTTAATATTTTCGTCAATGCCGCGCTGGAGTAGCCACCAGTGACCTTCTTCAGCACCCCATGTGTCTCCTGTTACACCATAGAAGTGCTGATGTCTGACACTTGTCTTATCGTGGGAATGACAGAGTGTCTGCTTCTCCATTTAGCGGTCTCTTTAGACTTACTCTCTTCTTTAACTCTTGTCGATTTTGTTTAAATTACAGGATATCTTTTTCTCATTTCCTTTTGAAACTCTGGAAGCTTTTTTGATATTTATTCTATAAAATAATGGATTAAATTATAGAGACAGAAGTTTAATTATTTAATTAATTTGAAAAAAAAGGATTATAATTGGATGGGCCTATGAGAACTCTGGCCAGAGATTAATTTCTTGCAAAAAAAAAAGGATTATAATTGGATGGGCATATGAGAAATCTGGTCAGAGATTAATTTCTTGCAAAAAAAAGGATTATAATTGGATGGGCATATGAGAACTCTGGCCAAAGATTAATTTCTTGCAAAAAAAAAGGATTATAATTGGATGGGCATATGAGAACTCTGGCCAGAGATTAATTTCTTGTAAAAAAAAAGGATTATAATTGGATGGGCATATGAGAACTCTGGCCAGAGATTAATTTCTTGCAAAAAAAAGGATTATAATTGGATGGGCATATGAGAACTCTGGCCAGAGATTAATTTCTTGCATAGAACGATCGCAATTTTCATGTATTTAAAAATTGTGTTAGGTTGGGTTTTTTTTTTGTTTTTTGTGTGTGTGTGTTTATTTTTAATTAATATTTTAAGTCTTAGCGTCAGTTTCGATCATACATTTGATGCAATTTTTGTATGAAGCCTTGTCACGACTTTCAAATTACTATGTGATCAAATTCCCATTTTTGTTCCAAAAAAATTTTTTTTTAAAATGGAGACCACGTACAAAATAGTGCGTTCATACACAAATTTGACGCGAAATTTGAAGATAATTTGATCGTGTGAACTTTATTTATGGTACGTTAATAGCTCGCTTTATACATTTTTTAAAAAATAACTGTGACTCACTGTGACATAAAAATCTCTTTTCAAAATTTTAGTTTGTAGTACAGGGGGTGGGGGGGGGGGCAAGGCTTTAAAAAATAATTGTAGGTTTTAATTCGGCCCTACGCCAGCTCAACCCGGAAACAATAGCATTTTGCATTACGACTCAATATTCAAGCGAGTTTATATTTGACTAGACACATCATTTAACCAGCGGTCCTCACGATACTATCTCGAGCTCAAAGTTTTATTTGGTAGAATGCTCTCGTCCCCCAAAAAAAACATTCTGGTAAAAATAAATAAGTTTTTTTCTTTTTTTTAATTGCATTATTTTTTTGTTTGAAATTAAATTGCAAAAAACCAGAATAAAGATAGTAGAACCAGCAAACAATTGTCAGGGTGGGGGGAAATGTTCCCGCTAAGGTTTGTTGTTTCGTGTGCAGAATCATACAGTTGTGTGCAAAGTTTTACAGCATCAATTTTTTGTGTGTGCAAAACTTTACAGCCCATAAACACAAACTCACTTACAGGGAAATTTGCTGCGCGGATACTCAAAACTGCTGCGCGGTGTCTGTGACATTGCTGCGCGGATACTCAAAACTGCTGCGCGGTGTCTGTCACATTGCTGCGCGGCCGTGCAGCTTAAAGGGAACGTTGGTGGGGGGTGTGAGGAGGGGCCGGAGCTGGTTCCGCTTGACGGCCTTGACGTCATCATTCTTTAGGTCATTCACATTTACGACACGCTTCACTTATGCTGCCGCAGTCTGTCACTCGTGACTTCATTCATACCACCAGACCCCGAAATCTGGGACTTGACATTGGGTTAGATCTAAATAAAGTCCCCGTACGTTACGGTACAGTGATGGTTGAGCTTTACCAGGAGTCGGCCCTGGAACGAACACCTGAAACAATTACTTGTGGATCGATTTTTCTGAGCACACCTTACCCGTAAAATATCTGTAAAATGATACGACCCGTGGGAAATAATAAGAGTAATAGTAATAATAGTAATAATAATAATGATAATAGTACTAATCTTCGGACACTTGATATTTGATTTGGTTACTTGCGGTACGTTGCATCCATACCGACACGCGTGTCTACGTAAACAAACGTAACCACGAAATGGGTGGTGGAGTTCTGTGCATTTATAACAGCGAACCTCTGGGTCGCGACCCCTTTGGGGGTCGCTAGACCCTTTCCCAGGGGTCGCCTAAGACCATCTGAAAACATACACCCTCTACAGTTATGAGGTAGCAAAGATATAATTTTGTGGGTGGGGGTCGCCACAACATGGGGAACTCTATTAAAGGGTCACGGCATTAGGAAGGTTGAGAACCACTGACTTATATGAAGGAAATGAAACATCGGCGCTGAAATGACTTTGTTATGAATTTTTGTTTGGAACGTTACGACTAAGACGGGAATAGGATTTTTGAACAATTTAACTTGGTCTTTTTTATTTAAATCTCTTGTGTTTTTGTTTTTTTAAATTCAGGATTCTGTCTAGCATTGTTTGCAGCCAGGGCTGTTTGTCCCTGTGTTGAATCACGTAATCTATTCTTGACCTACTTCTCCCGGGCTGAAATATATAAGTGTTTGCCACACTGACATTACTAGTTTTTCGGTGCATGATTATTTCACTTTGGGGGTGGGGAGGAGGGGGCCAGCACTCAAATGGATTGCTCCCAAGAATGCTTGACGCACGCGTAAGCTCCAAGGGACAGCCTAACCTCTACTCATTCAAACCAGTACGCAGTTAAGCTCACTTAAAAGTTCACAGTCAGTTCAACTCAAAAGTTCACAATCAGTTCAACTCAAAAGTTCACAATCAGTTCAACTCAAAAGTTCACAATGAGTTCAACTCAAAAATTCAAAGTCGTACAGAGAAGAGGGACCAATAGCCATAAGAAGTATGCTTTTTTTTTTTTTTTTTTTTTTTGTTGTCTTTCCGCCAATTTGAAAATAACAAAATCAAAAACAAATGACGTCAAAGCCTCAACATCAACGTTAAGTTAAAAATATAACTTAACCACGTGATACCAAAAGACATTATATGAAACAATTGATCATTTTTTTTTATTCCAGAGTTAAATTGTTTGTATTAAAATGCGCGAAAAAGCAAAACAATAAGCAAAACATATTGTTCAGCTCTACCATGTTTATTCATAATTGATTTGTTTAACAATTAAAATTAAAATTAAAAACAAAAGGTAGCATAGGGCACAGAAAATGTCTTTTATTATTGGGATTATGAAAGTTATTTGGACATTTAGATTAGAGTTTATGATGTCATCACATAATTACATGCCGACTTAACAAAAGTAATATATCATATGCCGACATATAAACATCAATAAAATATTTAAAAAAATATTAAAATTGCTGCAACTTGCTGGGCGTGTTCAATCTCCATCAACATTTTTTATTCTAGTGTCTTTATATACAAGCCTTTTTAAATCGTGGAACATGATGACATCAGACTTTTAAAACAAAACATTTCAAGCACAAAGTCATAAAAAATGAATTTATTGTTTCCCATCCATTTCAAATGCCATCTGTCACTAAATGCATCAAATTTTTTATTTTTGTCAAATAGAGCAGCTAAAACTGTCCAATCATGACACATAACACTGATGTCCCCTCTTGAACGGACCACCCACGTACGTCACAAATAGGTATCGGTAAAATGTGTATGGGTGACGACGGCATTGGCCGTGCCGCCAATGTTCTGGTCGCGGCACGGTCTCGCCTGGCGCGGGTTCCCCTGCTGAGTTGTTGCCTGTTTGGCCATGGCGGACCTCATCACGTTCTGACATCTGCTGTTGGCGTCCAGCTCTGCCTTGGTCAGCTCGTCTCTCTGCTGCACCCGATCTTTAACTCTGCGTCGTTTCTGGTGACGGAAACAGACTTTGGTGTGTTAGGGAAAAAAAACGTCACTGACGTCACGTGATTGATTTAAGTGACACGTTGTTTTCTAAGGCATTCGTTGAATTTCTTTTTTTTTAAAGTTAATAATAATAAAAACCCAAATAATTCAATTTCTTCAGCAAGTAATATTGTCTATATCCTAACTAAAAACCATGACATCAACCTCAACATTTATAGGGCACATAATAACCATGACATCAACCTCAACATTTATAGGGCACATAATAACCATGACATCAACCTCAACATTTATAGGGCACATAAAAACCATGACATCAACCTCAACATTTATAGGGTACATAATAACCATGACATCAACCTCAACATTTATAGGGCACATAATAACCATGACATCAACCTCAACATTTATAGGGCACATAATATCCATGACATCAACCTCAACATTTATAGGGTACATAATAACCATGACATCAACCTCAACATTTATAGGGCACATAAAAACCATGACATCAACCTCAACATTTATAGGGTACATAATATCCATGACATCAACCTCAACATTTATAGGGCACATAATATCTAAACAAAGCCTTAAGAATAATTTGAACTAAACATTTTTATTAATGGGATGGGTAATCTAGTGAAAATCAATGTCAGGGATCTATATTTGTTAACGATCGATTGTGATTAGATTTTATTACTGTAGTTTTTAAACAGAAGTAGTCTGGGCGTATGATATCTATGTCAAAAAATACGACTGACCATTCTGTACCAAAGTACAAATTTTCTGGCCTATCACAACAACCAGCAGCTGTTGGTATTTGTTTTTTTTCCTAAATGTTGGCCGTGGTGCCAGAACTGTAGAATGGCGCAGTTATTGTTTTGGATTATGTTTAATTCAATTTCTTCTAATAGTGTATCCATGCTTCAAAACTTTTTTTTTTTTAATTTTTATTTCAATGATTACCAAATAAATATATTTTAAAGTGGGTGCTTTGTTATTTTATTCTTCTTATTTATTTTCATCAGCTGGTTTGGAAAAGGGGGGGGGGGAAGCAGCAGTAATGTTCCGATAACTTTTGGACACACATCACACGTACTTACAACAGCGGACGAGCAAGCAAGTGTTGAAACTAGAAGGCCCAAAACACTGAATCCAATGGCCACGCCCCCTGCGACGACGTAAGAGTAGACCAGCGCCACCTTGTGGCAGTCCCCCCGTGTGACGCTGATGACACTTTGAGAAGAAGGGAAGAAAAAAGGAGTTAGAGTGGGAAAGTTAGCTTCAATTTTTATTAGGAATTAAAAAATTCCTCAAACAAATATCGTAAGAATATCCGAATATGATGACTTAGATAATTGTGACTGCATCAAGGTTTCTAGCATAGGAATATTTTGACTATAAAATACTTTGGCATTTGGTATCGTATCAACATTTTAGCTTTCAAATATCTGTGTGTGTGTGTGTATACAGGAACGTCTTTTCAGTTGTTTTTTTTCAAAATTGAGGGTGGGGTTGGGGGGGGGGGTGCAAAACCCAAGCTTGGTCGGCTTGATGAGTTGTTTATTACTGGAGGCGCCACAGTGCACAGCAATTTTAATAAAACCTGAAAATTACAAATGACGTCCCTGCATATATACCGGTGTACATATACATATATAAATACATTTATGATATACTCAATATTTGTTTAATATTTTAAAATTGGGGTGGGGGGATTTTTGTTTAAGAAAGCAAAAAAAAAAAAAGATTTAAAAAATAGTAAATTATAATTGTCAGGTTTAGGATGAGAATTGAACCCAAACGTCTAGTGCAGACCTCTATGTGGAACGATTCTTGAGTTGAACCCACCCCTGTACATATACATATATAAATACATTTATGATATACTCAATATTTGTTTAATATTTTAAAATTGGGGTGGGGGGATTTTTGTTTAAGAAAGCAAAAAAAAAAAAGATTTAAAAAATAGTAAATTATAATTGTCAGGTTTAGGATGAGAATTGAACCCCAACGTCTAGTGCAGACCTCTATGTGGAACGATTCTTGAGTTGAACCCACCCCATGATTAGTATTGAATAGTCAACACTGCTCTAATCAGTTTAACTGTAGATTCTTATATTACTAATATTCACGGTGAACCCCCGAATCAAACACCAAGTCCAAATCTGGCAATGCCAATAATGACATGTTCCACACACAGAATTTACCGGTTGGTGCCGGTCCATGGACCATCATTGGGGACCGTTGATTCCAAATAGTGGTAAAAACCAAATTAATTTTTAATGTAAGTTTTATTTAGTTAATAGTTTTAAGCAACAAATGTGTTTGAAAACTTACGTGCAGTTGTCTCGGTTGATGAAAACGTTTTCAATGGAGTATCCGTAGCTGGCACCTCCAGCCAGAAGTGTGGCCATAAGTAGACACACGTGGACACCGATCTGTTGAGGAGTCAATAGATAAATTCTTTGGTGTGGAACGGTCAACTCTGGGGGCATTTATGAAACTTAATCATTTCAAAAACGACAATGGAACGTATTCACAATATTTTGATCGATTTATTGTGGTTATATACAACCAAATATTTACTTATGTCCCAGCCGCTCATCGCGACATTCTTTGCTTGTTTGGGCACTGGTCTTTATTTATAAGGTTAATTGTATATCGCTCGGAAACGAAAGTCTTAACATGGGAAAGTAGAGAAAATGACCACTTTTTGTGTGAAGATGGGATGTGAATAAATGACTAGTTCGGAGGAATGTGGGGGATACAAAGTGGTGAGGGATTGACATCCATTAACAGGGACATTAAAATTGAGAGCACCAGCAAGGTAAGTGACACTTACACTGGACATCTGACGTCTGTAACCCACGGCAATGCCAGTGATGACTGGGAACAGGAACTGGATAAAACAAAATCAGAGTACGATATACGTTAAGGAGTGGTAAGTGATCTAGGCTTTAGAAATGTGTACGAGACATGATATAGTTAATTTATCAAATAATAGTTGAAATAATCAAAATTTAAATAAAGAAAATTGTTTGACTTACTTTTAAAAAAAACAAAAAAAACTTTATATCTCTAACGCAACTTTTTAACTTCAATTTTTATTTCTTACACCTGAATGAGACTTAGAATGTCGACGCAACATTTCGTGCACCTAAAATAGAATTAGTATATAAAATAACCCGTGTCTACCAACACGACATTTGGTACACCTTTTTGGACATTGGGACACTAATAGTAATAGTGCACCATCGGGTAAGACAGCTCACCACTTACAGGTAAACAAGCCATCCATATCGCAGACACATCTCTCCTGTACGTCTCCAAGAACCCCACTGTGTAGCTGGCTATTGTTGCTGAAAAAATAAAAAAAATTATCTTTTTAATTTTTTCAACATCTTTAAAGAATCATAATTTTATTATTGATGCTACAACAAAATTATTTAAAATCTATATTTACACTACGATATATCCGTAGATCAATCCTAGAGCTTCTTCTTGTTTAAAATTTTTTTTTTTTTAAAATATATATATATTTTAAAAAAAACGCTGACAGACACAAAACAAGTACTAGTCTAAATATTTTTTAACAACAGACAACCCCCATCTCTCATAAAAAAAAAATTAATTACAAATTGCGATCTTATAATCTGACGGTATCAAACACAGCTCTGCCTTAACTCCACGTTAACACCAAAAGGGGTCGCAAAGGTCTTTATTCTTGGCAAGAAGAAGGGAAAGAATTAAACCCAGAAGGACCATTCAAATCACTTGTTGTTGTCGTCGTTGTTCGTGGTGTGTTAATGTTCTGGTTGTTGCTGTTGGTGGTGGTGGTGTTAGTGGGGTTTTCTTTTTGGTGTTGCTATTGTTGTAGTTGTTGATGATGTTGTTGTTGGTGGTTGTTGTTGTCAGCTTTAACATAATATGCTCAGCCCGGTAAAAAAATAATTGTAGCAAAAACGTATTTCAGCACCGTCACCGACAACAGTACCATGGCTACGGAGGGGCAGATGCCAAAACAGCTACAATTCACCATAGAGTTTAACAAATAAACTTAGACATACAACTTACAACATGCAACTTTCAACATGCAATTTACAACATTAAACTTACAACATGCAACTTACAACATTAAACTTACAACATGTAACTTACAACATGCAACTTACAACATTAAACTTACAACATGTAACTTACAACATACAACTTACTTCATTCAACTTACCCGCGATGGCGGCCGATGCAGCTAAGATGCTGATTGACATCCCCATGTACAGAGGCACGTCCCTGGAAGAATCGAACGCTTTCATCTCCTGGGTAAATTCTTCATGAACTTTCTTCTCCGAATGAGACATGACCTGAATGTCTAAATATATTTATATCACATTTATGGTTTGTATTGTTTCTGTCGTTGTTCTAATAATGTCTTTTATTTACGTCGTAAAAAAAAATGTTTACATTTGGATTTTATTTCAGTTCATTTCCCCCAATGTTTTGCAAAAACATACTAGTTGTAATGTAGCCACAAATAAACTATTGTAATGTAGCCACAACTAAACTATGTTAATGTAGCCACAACTAAACAATTGAAATGTAGCCACAAGTAAACTATGGAAATGTAGCCACAACTAAACTATGGTAATGCAGCCACAACTAAACTATGGTAATGTAGCCACAACTAAACTATGGTAATGTAGCCACAACTAATCAATGGTAATGAAGCCACAACTAAACAATTGTAATGTAGCCACAACTAAACCATGGTAATGTAGCCACAACTAAACTATGGTAATGTAGCCACAACTAAACTATGGTAATGTAGCCACAACTAAACTATTGTAATGTAGCCACAACTAAACTATGATAATATAGCCACAACTAAACTATGGTAATGTAGCCACAACTAAACTATTGTAATGTAGCCACAACTAAACTATTGTAATGTAGCCACAACTAAACTATGGTAATGTAGCCACAACTAAACTATTGTAATGTAGCCACAACTAAACTATGGTAATGTAGCTGCAACTAAACTATGGTAATTTAGCCACAACTAAACTGTGGTAATGTAGCCACAACTAAACTATTTTAATGTAAACACACACTCACACAATTACAAGCGCACACACACACACGCTCACACATTCCCCCCCACACACAATCCCACACAAACGCTCGCACATTCCCACACACACAATCCCACACACAAACGCTCACTTATGCATACAAACACACTCTAACACACACGCACTCCACAACACACATCAAAGGGCGAAAGAAGACGAAGCTGTAAAAGCCGAGCACAAAATTAAGTTTGAACTTACAAAATGACATTAACTAAGACCAGTGGCGACGCCATCAAATTTAACATGGCGGGTCCCTTGCAGGTCTTAAAAAATTTGGTGGGTCCCAAATAAATGTATTAAAAATAAAATTTATTTATTAAGTCATATTTATTAATCTACTAACTTAACCAAAAGTTTACATACATTGTCAATTATCATAATAAATTTATTTGAATGTATCATATTTGTAAGGTCAATCACGTTTATCTAGAGAATCCACACTCGTGACACTCCACACTATTGACCCATTGACTCCAGCTACACTGACACAGGACGCTAGGGGGGGGGGTACTGAAAAAGTACGCTATGCAACAGGGGGAGGGGGGTCGAGATTCGCGATATTTTTGCGTACGTAATATATGGATGGCATCCTACAAGTTAAAAACTTAAATTATATATATATATTACATTTTATGACGTTATATTGACTTTTGTTGTCGATAAAAATTTAAACATATAAAGGCATTTAAAATGGAAGTTCTCTTACATGTAATGTAGTTTACGCTTAATGAGCATATCTACAATATTAGTAACTAATAAAAATTGACCAGGTCATTTGCCAGGTCCCAAGTTTTTTTTACCAGCTCCTGGGACCCGGTGGGACCTGGTGTAGCGTCGCCACTGTATTTTAGTTAAACTGAAGAATTAAGTTCTCAAACATATAGTCCATTCCATTATCTTTCATTTGATACCTCATTTTGTCTTACAAACCCAACAATAAAATTTTAAATATTTTTTTTAATCCCAACTTCTCACTTCTGGTACCTGGGTACGAGTACGAATAGTCGTAGACTTATAGAATTGTAATTACCCAGAATCTCTTTTGCCATTTGTAAATTATTTATGTAATCAATTATTACTAAGCTTTTCAAGACTTGGAAGCATTAGAAAAGGGAAGTAACAATCTCAACATTTAATAGCTCAAATTATTTATGAGTCGTTTCTCTTGTAAAAGTTTGAACCCTTGTTTCCACAATACATTGGAGGGATCGTCTATATCAGGGGTAAATTGATCACTCTTTTTACTCCACCGTCTTCTCTCTCAACCCCACGCCCACCCCCCCCCCACGACAACCACAAATTCGCATGTCCTCACGATCGCTTTTAAAAGGCATCTGCCACTTACTGCAGCTCAGTGGAGTGGCTTGGCTAGTAGCCTCCCCAGGACAAGCTCCCAAAGGTCGGCTCTTCTAACACGCACGCTCACACACACACAGATACACACACATTTGTATAAAATGTTGAATATACCCCCCCCCC